CCCGCCACCTTAGGTGTACATGGCTGGCGCCTTAGCCGGTTGAGCTATAGGTGCCGAGCCGGTAATGGTATTTTTTGTTTTTGTTTTTTTGACAGAGTCTTACTATGTCGCCCTTGGTAGTGCCAGGGCATCACAGCTCACAGAAACCTCAAACTCCTAGGCTTAAGCAATTCTCTTGCCTCAGCCTCCCAAGTAGCTGGGACTACAGGCACCGAGCTATTTTTTGTTAACATTGTTGTTCAGCAGGCCTGGGCCAGGTTTGAACCCACCAGCCCCAGTGCATGTGGCCATCACCCTAACCACTAAGCTATGGGCACCAAGCCAAGGTAATGGTATTTATCCATCAAAGTAAGCTACTAACTAGGGCACTGAGGGGTCAGAGCAATGACAGCGGAGAAGGGTTAGGGTGGTAGGGCCAGCTGGAGTAGGGAGGGGTCCTGCCAAGCCACCATGCCACAGAGTGGCTGCCTCTCTTCCTTTTTGGTGAAGACCTCCCCAGTACCCCAGGATTAGATGTGATTGCTCTCAAATCCCAAATCTTTCTTCTCTCTTCACTTGGGATTCTTTTTTTCTCTTGGAGCCAGAGTCTAATTTTGTTGCCCTTGATAAGAGTATCCTGGTGTCATAGCTCACAACAACCTCAAATTCTTGGGCTCAAGCAATCCTTTTCCCTCAGCCTCCTGAGTAGCTGGGACCAAAGGCGCCTGCCACAACACCTGGCTAGTTTTTCTTTTGCTCTTTGTTTTTGGGATTTTTTTAGTAGAGATCTTGTTCTTGCTCAGGCTGGTCTCAAACTCCTGAGCTCAAGTAATACCACATGCCTCAGCCTCCCAGAGTGCTGAGATTACAAGCATGAGCCACTATACCCAGCCTCTTCACTTGGCATTTCTAATATCACGTCCTCTTACCCTGCTTAAATGTACCCTTTATCCCCATTTCTTCCCTAACCCACCCTCCTGACCTTCTGCAGCATTTTAACTATCCTGCCCGCTTTGCATTCCAGTTGTTTGTGTCCATGTCTTATCTCCCATTAGAGACTGTAAGTTCCCTAGGAGCAGTGTCTGTGTCAGATGAACCTGTACTGCTCCTCATAGCCTACTATATAAGAGGTACTCAAAATATACTCGTTATGTATTACAATTTCACGTCCGCTACCCTTGAAGGAGTTAATCATCTCTAAGATTTCCCCCTGAACTCCCTACATTGTACCTAATAGTCTCAATATAGTTTTTATTAAGATTTACATCCTCTCTTACAGGGGTCTTAAACTACAAATAGCTCTCACCTCTCCCAAGAGTAGTGTCTGAGCCACTAAAATGTCAGCTGTCAGTTCTCGCTCTGAACAGAGCTGCTCTTTCTGGGGATGGGGGGGGGGAGCTTCTGTGAAAGATTATTTTTACTATTTTGGAGGTGTGAACTTTATGCTTCCTTCTCCTGGATCCACCAGCCCCTAGCTGATCTGCTTGTCCCATCCACAGAAATACAGTTCACACCATTCCCATGGCCTTAATCCCCTTCTCCAAGTCACATAAAGAAAACCGGTCTCTCCAAGGTCACACTAAAATCTGGAACTCCTGCGTGCCACACTCAAGAGCCTTGTTTCCCACCGTTAGCATCTTTCTGAGGGAGGCCATGACCCAATCCACAGGCTGCGGGTTTAAGTCAAAAGCGCTAGGGTTGAATTAAAAGGCTGTCCACTGACGCGGTGTTGGGGACCCCAGCTAGGGAGGTAGGCTTCGCTCGGAGAGGACTACCGGTCCTACATCAGAACCAGTCCTGCACATCCAGGGCTCTAGGCCGCGCTCCCTTCTCAGCTCCTGGCACACGTCCCAGGCAGCGCAGGTCGGCTTCTTACTCGGGACCCTCTCCCGCATCGAACTCCAATAACCCTCAGCAGGCCCAGCCTCCTGACCTCCTAACTGGCCGGGGACAAGCTCCCAGAGCTGCAGGCCCAGCACCCGCACCCCCTCGCTCCGTCCCTCACCGGGACGAGAGGTGCCTCCGCGTCGTCGTGGTCGCAGCTGGCGGCAGGGCCCCGGCTCCACCCGCCGCACAGAACGGCCTCGGTCCCCGGACCCCGGTTAACGACCGGGACCACCAGCGGCTGCCTACGGCCAGGGCCCGCCGGGCTACACAGCCCGCCATGTCCCGCCCGAGCACCCGCTCGGTTCCTGACACAGGGCCCGACCCGCGGCCAGGCGGCGTCCCGCCCCCGCCCCACACTGCCCCGCGCCGCGTCCCCGCCCCCTCGGCTTGCTGCCGGGCCCCGCCCCACCCTGTGAACGCGGAGCTACTTCCGGCGCAAGGCCGGCGGAAGTCACGGTTCGGGGGTCACCTGACCGTAGAGTCTGCTAGACATGGCGTCTTCCTTGCTAGCAGGCGAGCGACTGGTACGCGCTTTGGGCCCCGGTGGGGAGCTGGAGCCACAGCAGCTGCCCCGAAAGTTGCGGGCCGAGCTTGAGGCCGCGCTGGGGAAGAAGCCCGCGGGAGATGATAGCTCCACTGGCCCCCAACGCTTGGTCTCCTTTCGTCTGATCCGGGATCTACATCAGCATCTGAGAGAAAGGGGTGAGCCCCAATCTCCAGTCCAGAATCGCCTCCTTGTTTCCAGATCTGCTCCCCCCGAAGTCTTTTTCTGTTACTCTCCTCCTGCGAAGCACTCATCTAGCCAACCCAAGAGCTACCTCATAAACCCAGGGCCACCCACTCCGTTTTTAACTCCCATTGGAATTAGTCGTGGGTGACAAATTTTACTTACGCAGTTTCCGCTCTCTTGAGGGTCTTTTCTTCGCTTCCAGGCCCGCCTGACCCTTCGGGAAGTCCGGGTTCTAACTCCATACTATCTAGATTCACTTTCTTCCTTTTTTGTTACATTAGGAACCATCTTAGTATAGTTAGGTTGATCTGCCAAAAATCTGGATTTCTTTGCATCTGAAAAACAGGAGTTGTAAAATCATTCATTCATTCCTTCCTTCATTCTTTCTTTCTATAGGATGACAAAAGCTGTGCTGAAAGATCTGGACTGGGGCTTGGCGCCTGTGGCTCAAGTGGCTAAGGCGCCAACCACGTACACCCAAGGTGGCAGGTTTGAATCCAGCCCGGGCCCGCCAAACAACAATGACGGCTGCAACCAAAAATAGCCGGGCGTTGTCGAGGGCGCGTGTGGTCCCAGCTACTTGGGAGGCTGAGGCAGGAGACTCACTTGAGCCCAGGAGTTGGAGGTTGCTGTGAGCTGTGATGCCACAGCACTCTACCCAGGGGGATAGCTTGAGGCTCCTGTCTCAAAAAAAAAGAAAGAAAGAAAGAAAGAAAGATCTGGACTGGAACTAGCATCTGACTTCTAGTTCTAACTCTGTCACTAACTCCTCTTGAAGGAGTCATTTCTCCTCCCTGGGTATCAGTTCCCTTGTTTGCAAAGGGAAAGAGTAGGACAAACTGCCATGTAAAGTCTTTTGCCAGAAATAACATAGCCTAGCCAGATGTGTAAAGAGTAGAATGTTCAACCATTACAATTAAAAGGACCTTGGAAAGTACAGTGTCTTCTAAATTATTTAAAATCACTATGACCTAAATGTATTAAGGGCAGCACTCTTGGACCACAGAAATAATCTAATCCAAAGACAAATATAAATGGCTGGTGTATCAGTTGTAACATAAAAAGGATAATTGAGAGCTGATAACTAAAGTCAGCTGTACAGCACTAATAGATACTTATCGAGAATTACCCTAAGTTCTTTCCAGTTGAAAATGATCCTGGAGATGGACTGATATAGAGATGCCTGTATTTTATTTTGATTGATAGAGAGACTAGACCTTCTCTGATCTTAACCCTTCACCCTCGGCTCTCTGCATCACTACATTTGTGGGAACTTTTTCTTCCCAGATTCCACAGTATACCTTCATGAGCTCCTGGAAGGCAGTGAAATCTATCTCCCAGAGGTTGTGAAGCCTCCCCGGGTATGTAAGGGATGTATTTGTGAGAATGGGTATTGGCTGAACTGGGCTTATTCATGATAGATTCAGTATATGAAACAACTTTAACGCTCAAAAAATTTGTCTTTTAAATCTTCGGGATCTAGAAAGGGGGAACCAGATACTGTCCTCTCTATTGGACAGCTTGGGAAACAGATACAAAAAGACAGTTTCTAATATAGTTGAGGTATGTAGGGCAAGCAGATATCCTGGTACCCTTAGCAATCTTTTCCCCCTAGAACCGGTTATTATAACATACTCTCTAGCAAGCTGAGAATATCATTCTCATTTGATTTTTCTGCTTCAGAACCCAGAGCTAGTTGCCCGGCTGGAGAAGATTAAGATACAGCTGGCCAATGAGGAATACAAGCGGATCACCCGCAATGTCACCTGTCAGGTAATTGCCTACTCTTCGATATGTGGACTGAGTAGCTCCTGAAAGCTGGGCCTGGCACTAGAAAAAGGTACAGAGGATAGAAACAACATAGAAACTTGATTTGTATACTATGCAGCGACCATAGGAACTCAGTGCTGCATACGAACTAAATACAGTTCCCAACTCGTTGATTAAGACTTTGGGCTGAGGCTCAGCGCCTATAACTCAAGCAGCTAAAGCACCAGCCACATACACCAGAGCTGGCGGGTTCAAGTCCAAACCGGGCCTGCCAAACAGCAATGACAACTACAACCAAAATATAGCTGAGTGTCATGGCAGGCGCCTATAGTCTGAGCTACTTGGGAAGCTGAGACAAGAGAATCACTTAAGCCCAACAGTTTGAGGTTGCTGTGAGCTATGATGCCATGGCACTCTATGCAGGGCGGCAGCTTGAGACTCTGTCTCAAAAAAAAAAAGACTTTGGGCTGAGATAATGACCAATTCTTAGATGTCGTAGAAGTGGGGAGGAGCCTTAGACCCTTTGTTCTGACAGGGCTCCTTACTATTCCCTGGAGCAAGAAAGGAATAGAACTGGAAGCCTATGTCTTCTTTCTGAAATGCTTGCTCTGTAATCTGAACTAAGCAGAAGAATCCATGGAGAAGACAGTAATGTGTTGGGAAATAGAGCTGAGACCAAATAAGATGGGTACTCTCTGAGCTGCTTCTCTTTTGAAATCTGCTTTTTCTTTTTCCCAGGACTCAAGGCATGATGAGAGTCTCAGTGACCTGGGAAAACAAGGTGAGCTACTAGGAAACCAGGCTGCTAAAGTCTTTTCCTGTGGTGGGTTGTGACACTACTTCCCTCGTATTCTTGGTCTAAGGCTGAGCTATTCAGAATAGGCCTCCTGTTTGAGGGAAACCCAGTTGATGGGGAAAGCAGCCATGAGATAAAAAGGTTCCTCCTGGATAAAAAGTATGCTCCTGGACAGTACTGACCTAAAAGTTTCTTCTCTGGACTCTTTCTCCAAGTGAGATCAGTGAAGGCTCTGGTAGTCACTATCTTCAACTTCATTGTCACGGTGGCAGCTGCCTTTGTCTGCACTTACCTTGGAAGTCAGTATATCTTCACAGAAATGGCCTCGGTGAGTAGACACTGGGCAGGACAGAGTGCCCCAGGTAGGAGTATTCATGGGTAAGGGAGGATGAATGTGAATGTGCCTTGTGCAGGTGCAGGTTAGGTATTGAACAGATATTAATACAGTAAACAGGCTCGGCGCCTATAGCTCAACTGGCTAAGGCGCCAGCCACGTACACCTAAGGTGGCGGGTTCGAGTCCCCAGCCCGGACCTGCCAAAACAACAATGACGGCTGCAACCAAAAAATGGCCAGGCGTCGTGGCGGGTGCCTGTG